AATTTCAAACATCTTTATAAATAATAAAATTCTTTTTCGAAATTCAATTATTTTAGAAAAATTTTAATAAAATTCTTGGGAAAATTTGAATTATTTTCATAAATAATAAAACTCATCGCAGGATTTTAATTATTTTTTATACAATATTTTAATCGAATTCCTTGAAAAATGTAATTATTCTTAAAAATTTTATTAAAATTTGTCAAAAGAATTCAATTATTTAAAAATTTATTGATAAAATTCTTTATGAGAATTCAATTTTCAATTGAAAATTGAATTGAATTCAATTATTCAATAAATTATTTATTTTTTAATTTAATTAATTGAATTCTTCTAGAAGTTTCTTATAAAAATTGATTTAAAAATGAATTACCGAATAATCGATTTACTATTTATGAAAATAATTGAATTATTGCAACGAATTTTATTACATTTTTTTTTAAATAATTGCATTTTTTTGAGAAATTTTACTAACTTGTAAAAAGTAATTGAATTTTTGCGAAGGATTTTTTAGGATTTTTGTAAATAATTAACTTTTTTTAAAAAAATTTTATGGTAAATTAAATTATTACAAAACATGAAGAAGGCGATCACTCTGAGCTTTTGACTCAGAGTGATCGCCTTCTTCATGTTTTGTAATAATATTCTTATAAGTTGTTGAATTTCAAAAAGCTTTGAATTTGAATGTTTTGAAGAATTTTAATTCCTACGGAAAAATAATAAAAATTAAATATTTATTTAAAAAGGAAGTTATTGATGTTTTTAAATAATTTTAAAATTAAAGAAATTTGTAAATATGTGTAATAGAACATTTTTTTGAGTATCTAATAATTTTGAGAAATTTTTTTTTTTTTTTTTTTTTTTTTTTTTAATTGGAATATTCTTTAGGGTCAGGGAAAAAGTAAAAATTTTGTCTAGAAATGAGGGAAAAGTCAGAGAAAAATAAAATAAAATATTTGTGGCAACCCTGTAATTAGAAATGTAGTAATTTGGAAAAAAAAGTGATACAAAAAGTAACTTTTATAATTTACAATAATTTCACATTAAATTCGAATTTCGTAACTTTAAAAATCTCCGAGTGAATATTTTTGATAAATTCGTCAACTTTTAAAAAATTTGGTTGCCATATTAGATCCGCCATTTTAAATTATGAAAAACTGACCTCAAATATAAATTTTGCTACCCCAAAAACCCTAATTATATGCGATGAATTCATATTTTTTAGGAAACTTTTTTTTCGGATCGTTTTAGGCCCATAAGCGATTTTTAACTAAACTGCAAAGGATTTAAAAGCGGACAATTCTTTTTTTTACTTTTGCTTGCATAAATTATTATTATTTATTCACCCCTACAAAAGTAAATAAAAAAATGCCATTAGGTTTTACAATTTTTTGAAAAGATACTTTAATTTCGCAGAGTTTGTGTTACCGTAATTTATAGGTTCATTGTGTACACTTATACATACAGAGAGAGAGATTGCAGTATTTGCAGTTTAGCGTGTGAGAATGTATTCATTTTGTTCAAAATTACATGCACTCCATACTGCGGTCCTCGAAAGCGATGCCTATACCGCACTCCAGGATATCCGGAACTTACGGGTCGGCGATCCAGAGCTATTCATTTTCCACGACAAAATCTCGCTCGACGTTATGGTGATATGCGGAAGCTTCCCCAACGCTACACTCGCAAACCAACAACAACAAAAAAAGAATCAAAAAAACAACTTTTGGCAGAGTGTCAAAACACTTTTTTTCCCCCTTATTCTTCAAAAATGTGTATTCACCTATTAAATCGATTGCATTTGACATTCAGTTTTTACAAATATAGCGGAACGCAGTAAAAAAAAAAACGAAGAGACATGGCAAATACGTTTATCCTCGCGGCGGATATTATACCGCGAATACTGACCGTACAATCTTTCCTGACATATATAGGAAAAATTTCCATTTTTTACAACACTTAACCGCATGATATTCTTAAAATATTTCCCTTATGTATAAGCGCACTACTTCAGCAGTAAAATATTCATACCAAGATTTGTTGAATCGCGAGAATACCTTCACAGTTGACTACATTAAATTTAAATCCAAAAAAAGGTATAAAAAGATATTCTCCCTTTTGTTCCTAAAACTGCAACACGGGCATATATTTAATATAAATAAACCACTCCGGGAAAAATTTATAACACGAAAATACTTTCATAATTCTGTTATTTTTTACATGAGGCAATAAAATGAAATGTGTAATTGCGAAAATTGAACAAAAAAAAATGAATAAAATTCTTTCTTTGAAGCTAATTTAAATATTTACCATAAATGCCAAAAAATAATTGTTTAAAAATTACATATAAATTTAATATTGTTCAGCTGGTGCTTCAGTGATAAGAGCATTGAATGTAAACTTTGCATTATAAACTTTAATTGAAATGCGAGGAAATAATGCGACAATGCAAATTTTATCTAGCGTTGTGAGCACACATTAAAATAATATACTCGTCCGTCAACATTTTTCAAAAAAAAAAGTTATATTTTGTTACCTTCCTTTGTAAGGGGGTAATTTTTCAAATAAAATATAAAATACTAATTTGCATTCCACAGCTTTTGTTTTCTAAAATTAATACCCTCAAAATCTAGAAAGTGAAAATGAAAATAAAAAATTTATTTCTAAAAAAAAATTCTTGATGCATTTTATTAACAGCTCTTTAATTTTGATTGGTTCAATATTTTTACAGATATTCAATGTCCAATTTAAGTTTTTAGTGACACCATTAAATATATTATGTAGTCGGACAAAATTAATTAAATTTGCCAACTGTAAACGTCCCTGGCCAACAAGTTTTAAGCAAATCTCGATAATTTTTGAATTTTTCGGTTGAAAAATTGGATCCGCCATTTTGAATTTTTAAAAATTCGCTAGCGTCGCCTCGTCGACTTCGTTGCTTCCATCGAGGCGCATGATTATTCCCCAAATGTCATTTGACCGAACTGTCATTTTACCGAATGGCATTTATCCGAACTGTTATTTTAACGAAATGACACTTTTGCGAATCGACATTTTTACGAATTGCCACTTTTGCGAAAAGTCATTTTTGCGAAATATCATTTTTTCGAATTGTCATTTTTGCGAATCGTTATTGTTCCGAAATGTCATTTTTTTGAATTGTCATTTTTACGAAATGTCACTTTTGTGAATCGACATTTTTACGAATTGTCACTTTTGCGAAAATTCATTTTTGCGAATTGTCATTTATACTAAATGTAATTTTTGTGAATCGCCATTTTTACGAATTGTCACTTTTGTGAAAATTTATTTTTGCGAATTGTCATTTTTACGAATTGTCATTTATGCAAATTGCCATTTTTTTGAATTATTCATTTTTATGAAATGTCACTGTTGCGAATTGTCATTTTTGCGAAAATTGCTATAGTAAACTTGTATGCATATGTAGATTTACTACAGCAATTTTCGCAAAAATGACAATTCGCAACAGTGACATTTCGTAAAAATGACAATTCAAAAAAATGATAGTTCGCATAAATGACAATTCGTGAAAATTATATTTCGCAAAAGTGACAATTCGTAAAAATGTTGATTCGCAAAAATTACATTTAGTATAAATGACAATTCGCAAAAATTTCATTTAGGAACAATAACGATTCGTAAAAATGACAATTTGAAAAATCGCAATTTTTACAAATTCTTAAAAATGGCGATTTGTAAAAGTGACATTTCGTGAAAATAACAGTTGGAATAAATGCAATTCGGTAAAATGACAGTTCGGTCAAATGACATTTGGGGAATAATCATGCGCCTCACATGTTTATTTACTTTCACGAAAGTTAATTTAATGAAAATTAACTAAAAATTGCGATAAAATGGCGACTACAAAAATTAAAAAATTTAATATTAAATTCGCTTGTAACTCGTTACTCGGGGGTTTTTGGGGTCACTGATTACAAATATGATGTCAGATTTTCAAAATTCGAAATGGCGGATCCAATATGGCGGATGATTTCAAAATTGATGCGGTTTGATCGAAATTTATTTCTCGGGGGTTTTTGGGGTCACTAAATCCAAATTTGATGTCAAAAAATTAAAAATTGATGTCGTCAATAATATGACGACCAAAATATTAAAAATGAATTGAAATCTGATGTCAGACTTCGAAAATAAAAAATGCGTTAGAGCTAATCCTAAAAACTGTCTAGTAGGTACTTAATTATAAATTTTTATCACGAATATATTGATATTGAATTCGTTTACTTTTTAAAAAGATGTTTATAAATTTCTTTTATAACCACTAACGGTTCGACATTTTTCTCTTAGTTATTCTGCACTGCTTTACACATTAAAAACAGTCGTTAAAAGATGCGTAATCATTCTTGTGTTACATAAAATACATATTGTAACTTTCCAGGTGTAGATCGTATCACAGATGAAAATTGTAAGTATTTTTAATTGTACCATGGATCGTTATTCAGTGGAGGTCTTCAATTTACTCTAATCATTAAAATTCCAAAAAATAAAATTTCTCCAGACAGTTTTTATATTTTGAAAAAAAAAATTTCTTTACTTTTTATAGGACATCTAATTCCTATAGTTGATGTAATTTATTCCTCACGTGTTGAGAAATAAGATGTCATGCAAAATAAATTGTCACTTTTGGAACGGGAGCGCGAATTTCTAAAATTCAGGGTCGATGTTTTAAAGTCTCGCTATAATAACTACTATATCGGTTGATGTTTGATGAAATTAGGAAACGATGAAAACCATATAGTAGACGATGTTGGGCACTGCATTGCAGGTAAGGGCGTTGTCAGGGCGACCCTTGTGACCCTTATAGTTTGCCACTTGCACTATAACGGAGGAGGTCAAACTCCCAAGTCTGCGAGAGTCTCGCCCAATAATCGTACCTATCGTGTCTTAAAGATATAGGATATCACAGTCATCGACTCCTTTCTAATAGCCGACTAACCATCCGATCGATTTCCGTGTTTCAGGTGGATTTAAAACCTTTGCGGGAAGCCAGTATTGCTGTGCTTACACCGAAGGTCTCAGAGAAGAGGAAGATCGAAGAAGCCGACGCCAGCAAAGACCTGAAGAAGGTAAACTTGCTTCTCTTGTTTATTTACTTTTTTTCTGTTTATTATTCAAGTCCATATTACATTTTGGTTATTTTTCAAGTCATATAAACATCAATTACTTTTTTCTTCTTTAAAAATAAACCTTTATTCGGTCCTGAGATATCATTCTTCCAAGTTTTTGAAGCAGAAGAATTTGTAAATATATGTGACCTGGTAAGTTTAAATCTGAAGAAAATTGATTCTTATACAGAAGGAGATGTGTTTTTTTGAACAAAATAAACAGCAAACGCTTTAGATTAGATTTTTTACAAACACACTTCAAAGATGAACGAAATTGGCTAAAAAACGTAAGAAATTATCAATACAAAAGAACATATAAATTCATCAGATTTGGTTGAGACTTGGTACTAGAGGGTTTTTAGAGTACAAGTGTTGCCCGACGTGCAACACTTCTATTCATCAAATCAAAGTTAACTTAATTTGTATCGCGTAACACTTTATTGTTAGGTTATTCTATGTGTACATCACACTTGAACGTCAGTTGTTCCATAGTCTAACAAATTTAACAGTACAACCAATCATTTTTCCACGTGATAGATTTAATTAATGACGATAATGTTTCCGAAAATTGATAACTTGAACGAATGATGTTTGTATTCATAATTAATGGTAGTTTCAACTATAGTTGTACTTTTGATTGATGATAATTAGAAACGATATTTTTTTTCCAGAGGTGATTATGGTAATGAAAAATTTTCGTGGTTTCGGTTATTTTTAGCATCTTAGCTGCAATCAACATGTCAATTTCAATTATTGTTTGCAATTTATATTATTTTATTGTTTTTTAGGGTGTAAGTCCTAAAAAAATATGTTACAAGTAATTATAACATTGATAGTAACCCCACGTAATTATAATCTTATAATAAAAGAAGCAAATTTCGATTTTCTTTAATATTTCATGAATATTGAAATATTCGTAAATGTAAACCAAATATTTTCTCTAATACTTTCGAGTTTATGCGTTTCTTGGTATATTTAAAAAAATATGTACTTTAGTGAAAGTTTTAATAATATACGAATCAGAAATGTCTTAATTCGAAACATACATATAAAGGTTCGCCAAGTATATCGTACGAAACTTTTCCTTTTTATCATTTTATCATGCATTATCCTTGCCTGCGACTCTGACTTCCTGTTTTTAGAGTTAAAAATCGGTAAACTTGTTCTTGGGTTCGGCATCTGTTCTTGCTTCGCTCTGAATATATACTTACCAAACATATTGAACTGATAAAATAATTGTAAGCAGAATTGATAACATTTTATATTAGAATCTTGTGTTCAAAAATTGATTCCAAACTCATTGTGTCTAAAGAAAAAAAAAGAATTGTTAATTTTGACGAAACAAATTTCGGTTGTTGTTGAAATATTTTCTTTTGTTCTCTGAACAGATTTCAGGGTGTCTACTAATCGGGAAATAGCCGGGAATAAACCAGGAATTTTATGACAAACCGGGAATTTTTTCACCAAATTAAAAAAGTTCTGTTATTTTAATCTTTGTTTTAAACAATCGCTTTTTAAATTCCAATTTTTATAGATATTTTATACTCTTCTCTAAATTAGTCAAAAATAATTAATTTTATAGTAAGAAATCAGTCACTGATTCAAATAAAGTATATAATTAAATTTTAAAAAAATTATCGAATAACAATTTAAATTTTTTTTAAATTCAACTGAAAATAAATAAATTTGTTAAAAAATTTCATTAAAAACTTTTTAACAAATCGAATTTTCAAAGTATCTGAATTTAATAATTGATAAATATTTATCAATTTATTATAATATTATTTTCATGATTAGACGAATAAAATATGAGAAAATATACATCTTTGACTATTTAAAAATTAACACCGATCAACAACTTTTACATCTTATTATTGATAAATATAATTGAATTTTATAAAGAGTGACATTCTAATGTATTCATGTTTCTTAGAGCGAAGATTATAGCTAATAATTAAAATTTTTATAAGTTAATTTAAAAAAATACACACTTAAAATTTTTAAATAAAATTGAATATTCGCAAAATTTTTTTTTAATTCTGAAAAATAAGATTTTAACAATTTTTCAATTCTATTGTTTCAAGATAATTGAATTTTTATAAACAAATAATTGAAAATTTTTAAAATAATTGAAATTTCTTTACATTCTATTGAAAATAATTAAATTCTTTTAAAGAATTTTATTTAAATTTTTCAAAAATAATCAAGGGAAGTTAGTCAACGTAGTTATAATTTTATTTTAAATAATTTCTTCGCAATATTTATTCAATTATTTTCATAAATAGTAAAACTCATTGTAGAATTTCATTTATTTTTAATACAATAATTTTAATCGAATTTCTCGAAAAATGTAATTATTCTTAAAAATTTGATTAAATTTTGTCGAAAGAATTTCATTATTTCTAGAAACTGTAAAAAAATTCTTCTCAAGAATTCAATTATTTCCATAAATAGCAAAATTCTTCAGATTTACTTAATTCTTTTGAATATCATTTTAAAAAAAAATTCTTCACAAGAATTCAATTATTTTTATGAATTTTTATAAAATTCTAAAAAAGAATTCAATTATTTTCAAAAGTAATAAAATTCTTCACAGAAATTCAATTATTTTCAAAAAATTTAATAAAATTTTTGGCAAAATTTACATTATTTTCCAAAATTTTCCTCCTTTCAATTATTTTAAATATTTATTTTAATATAATTTTCCAAAAGAATTCAATTATTCAAACAAAATTTTAATAAAAGTTTCACAGGAATTCAATTACTTACCAATTTTTTTTTATAAATTTCATCAAACCAATTTAATTATTTTTAATTTCCTTATAAAGTTCCTCGAAAGAATTCAAATATATATTTAGAGAATTGAAAAAAAATAGTTCTGAGAAATTCAACTATTTCGAAAAATTTAAATAAAATTCTTTTAAAAATTCTATTATTTAAAAAAAATGTTGACAAAGTTCTTTACAAGATTTAGTTAATAAAATTGCAATTTTAATAAAAATTTCCTATACAATTCAATTATTTTTAATACAATTCTTCTTAAGAATTCAATTATTTAAAAAAATTGGAATAAAATTCTTTGCAAGAAATCAATTATTTTCATAAATAATAAAATTTTTCTCGAGAATTCAATTATTTTACAAAATTTTCATAAAATTCTTTTATTATATAAATTTGAAAAAATTATAATAAAATTGATCATAGAATACAATTATTTTCGAGAAATATAACATTCTTCCCAGGAATAAAACTATTGTCAAAAATGTTTGTAAAAATCTTCGAAACAATTCAATTATTTTCCTAAAATATAAAATTCTTTGTCAGATTTCAATTATTTTCAATTTTTTAATGAAATTTCTCAATAGAATTTAAATATTTTCAAAAAGTTTTAAAAAATTCTGAGAAATTCAATTATTTTAAAAAATTTGAATAAAATTCTTCACAAGAAATTAATTTTTTTCATAAATAATAAAATTTTTCTCCAGAATTAAATTATTTTCAGAAATAAATTTTTTCATAGAAATTCAATTGTTTAAAAAAATTTTTAATTTTTTGCAAGAATTCTATTATTTTCTATCTTAAATTTCTTCATGTTTTGTAATATTATTCTCATAAGTTATTGAATTTCGAAAGGTTTGAATTCAAAAATCTTAATTCCTATAGAAAAATAATAATGATTAAATATTTATTTAAAAACATTTTTATGAGTATCTAATAATTTTTCGAGTGAATGAGAATATTCTTCAGTGTCAGGGAGAAAGCCAAAATTTTGTCTGGAAATCAGGGAAAAGTCAGGGAAAAACGAAAATTTTTTTGTCAACATTTGAGGATTGTAAAAATTTTAAATAAGTGATTTTTTTTCTAAACTTTGATTGGTAATTAAGCATTAATCACGTAACTTTAAAAGAACGAAAAATTAAATAAAATATTGTCATGGAAACAATCTTAAAATTTACATTAATTTATAGTCACGAAAGGAAGAAGAAAAACCTGATTATAAGTGATATTTTCCTGCGCAAATTCTGTAAAATATTTAAATTGCGGATCATCTCTCCCGGACTTTTATACCCCATATGTATCAAGATATTATATCTTTTAATTTAAATTCTTTTTGGCCCAAGGACACTCAATGGACGTGTCGCAAAAGAGCTTCTGAAAATTTTAAAACAATCAATATTGAACTCCCGAACATGTACTCCCACTAGTTTTGTGCAAAAAAAAAAAAAGAAAATTCATTCTCCCCTTCACCCCGAAGGGATATCGCACTTTAAATTTTTTAATTCCCTAAATGCTCAGCTTATACACAATATTCACAAAGAATTCAATTAAGGCACATGTTTAAATTAAAACAGTTCATTTATCATTCTGTTCTTCAAAAAATCCAAAAAAAGACAGAGAACTCGTTTAAACTTGGATCCGAACAATTTTTTTTTTTTGAAGTCTCGCTTTTTTTTTGACTTTTTTAATCGTTTCTTCTATAATTCTATAATTAATACCATTAGAACCAACCCAAAATTTTTTATTAACATTTTCGAGAAAACAGCGCGATCTTTAATTTTATTTCATGAAATCTTATGTGATTGACATTTGAAAAAAAGTTTTATTTATATTTTTAGAGTTTGTAGTTTACGTGTATTGAAAAATTGAAATCGCAAACTGAGTAGCACTCGACATGCTTGTTCAGTTTGCTGACGTGCACACTGGCGCGCTCCTATTTTCGATTAATGATCGTCATTAAAGCCGTCAGCGTTCCACGATAATGCTTTTCCCCGAGACGTAAATGTAGTCTTGGGGAAAAAGAAGTCTTTCTCTCTCTTGACAGGGCCGAAAGTATTTAAAAGCAGAGAGTATGAGAAAAGAGAAAAGGTATATAGAAGAAAATCGAAGGCATTTATTTTTGGTCTCGTCGTCGATATTTGATGGGCGTTACGACGACGTTCTTCTGACGCGCTACCGACGTT